CAGTGAGATTATAATTGCCCGATATCATCTAATGTTCAACCTGCAAGTCTTTGTGGTGGACAAAAAAAATACATGTCGTTTTAAATCACGGGGTCTTATATCTCTTCCGTATTTTATTGAATCTATTTCTGTGTTAAATGAAACTCCAGATCTATCTATCTATCTATCTATCTTTGCAGTCCACTTTCTTTGCGGCCGTCCTTTATTACTTACATCACTTTGCGGTTGTTCTACCACTCACCACCGTGCGCTGGTCTTAAATCACTTTGTGTCGTCTTACATGAATCTGGGGTTATCACTTTGAGCTAACGTTACTTCACATTGCGGTTCACGTTACTTCACCTTGCGGTTGTTTTAAATCATTTTGTGGTTGTCTTACTGGTCCTTGCAGTGGTCTGACATTATTTTGTGTGTGTTTTACATCACATCTGGGTCATTTTAAAGCCCTTTGGGGTCGCATTTCATTACTTCATGGTTCGCCGAACATCCCTTTGTGGTGCCTTGCATCGGCGTCCATGTACAGCTGGATATGACAAAAAAGAATCTAGCTGTAGATTTATTTTTTGTAGTCTGTGTTTTTGCAGCTGTCTTTGGATGTAACCTCTAGGTTTCTGTCCTATTTTTTTTAACATTTTTTGTTTAATCCTTCTTGTTTTTGGGACCATTTTGCCTCTCTGTGCGTCGTCTTTTTGTCCTACTGCTCCCCCTTTGCTCTGATGTCCCACTGCTCTCAGGCAGTTTACAGACTGTGCGAACGTCTGCAGCGGAAACACGAAAGACAAATAATGAGGCTAAATGTGAGAAATGTTTGGCCTGGCTGCTCACAACGACCTACTTTTACACTTTTCCCCTGGCAGAGGCTTATCTAAGGGCGAGGGATGCTGCGAAGGAAATGATTAAAGATTCTGCTGAGAGGAGACTGGTACACCTGCACACATCAAAACATGGATGCCGTCCAGTGATTGGATGGATTTATGGACGGATGGCTGGGTGTTACTTCCAGCAAAGAAACACAAACACAGAAATTTTTCACTGAACTGATCTTTCTCTGACCTCAGTTTCTGGACCTTCATTTAGTAGAAATTCACATTGTAAAAAAAAGTATGGCTGCAATTTCAGCGTTTTGTGGTTCATAGAAAATGATTATTCCTCAGGAGAAACTGGAAGTAGAAATGGAATATCACTATGATATTGACCATTTATTCGACAAGGACAGACCTGAATGGGCTAAATTAGATAGAAGCAAAAGTAAACAGAAAACAGTACCTGCTAGGGTTTATTCAGCTACTTTATTGTTTGTTGTTGTTTGCAACTTTGGCTGTTGTTATGTGTTATTATGATTGGATGAAGCAGACCCAACTCTATCAGTATCTGTGCAAAGGTCTGACATAGACCTTTGGTTAAAGGCCTAATGACATTAAGTCTGAAATAGTTGACCTATGCCAAGAAATTAAAAATGACATTACATGTTATTGTGAGACAACCAAGTCAGAGATGTGTTCCACTGACTAATGGAATACTCACGCAACATGCTGTATGTAGTTCTCGACAGAGTAGAAAGGCTGAGGAGTCAATTGATTCATCGGAGAGTCAAATGCAATGACCTGAGAATCGAAGACAGAACCTAAACATTTTGCAATGACCTGAGAATCGAAGACAGAAGCTAAACATTTTTATCAATGGATCAGTGGATGGATGGGTGGGTGGATGGAGAGGTGAATGATGGATGATCTGACCCCTGATCTGACCAGGGTTTTAACCCAATAAAAGATTTATAAAACATATCAAAATCCTATATAATCTTGGTGTGCAGAAAAACCATTGGGATGGTTTTATCAAAAATAAATCACTGTTATTGTCTGACTTTAGTATCTTCAGTATCTTGAAGGAGTCTGACTTTAGTATCTTCAGTATCTTGTAGGACACAAAGACAAATGTCTAATCTAAAAGTATATTGTATTTATATATTCCTGAAAGTTAAAGTAATACAGTTGTTTAAGAAAGTGTGTGGTGTTTTTAATCATAATTTTAAAAAATGTATCAGTTTTTTTTAACAATTACTAGACATTTCAGACGAATTCATTTGAATTCCAAGTGACCTACATGGCGTTGAGAAATACCGGCGAAGAGGAACTGATACTTCTTTATACGTCATACATCGTTTTCTTGCAGTATAGAGTCATTAGCTCTTGTTTCAGGACTACTTTGAAGTACTGTTGTAACGCCCACGGGAGGTTTGCTTTCCAAAAACTACTGACGTAGAACAAAAGTATTGAAATATACATTGAATTCACCTGTTTATCAAAGGGCAGTTGTTGTTGGTGTTTCTAGTGTAGATGTACTTGTTGGGTTGTATTGTTTGGAAAATACTCTGGTCCTTGTAGGGACATTCTACAGGTCTCTACTGAGTGAGAGAGTATTTTGGAGTTGGGATTTGGGTTAAGAATTCAGATTGGACATATATGTGTAAAGGACAATTTTAGGGCAGTGGGCCAGAGAATAATTTATGTCTCATGAAAAGATTACAAAACACATAAAAAATCTTTTAGTGTGTGTGTCTCAGTGCTGGTGCGTGTATGAAACAGATGTTGCAGGGCTGAGACAGAAACATGTCAAAGTCAACCCTCTGATGTTCTCTGGTCATGTGATTCAGAGATTGGGGGCTTTAGCTCTTGGCTGCACCAGCCACTCTGGGAGGCTACATGCATCAATGTATTTACTGTTCTTCTGTGTCAGTTTGGAAACAGCGAAGGGCCACCAGCGATTCAATGCCAATTTACTGACATCAGCGACTAAATAATACCACTTATGAGAATGCAGGCCCCGCCCTTAAAGCTGGAGCCCACGTTTCCCTGAGCTGAATATAGCACTGAATCACTGCAGCCATTATGAGGCGCTCTCAAAAGTGCATTCATGCCCCGCTCCCCTCCAGCATCTTACCTCCTTTTTCCACACGGCTCCTCGCTTCACTTCCACACACATCATCACCACAACAGAGGCAGCCTGCAGAGGGCCCCCGCACCGGGGCTACCGCCATCACCTCTGCTGCTGCTGCTGCTGCTGCTGCTGCTGCTGCTGCTGCTGCTGTGTTTTCATTCAGTTGGTGGGAACCGAGCTGAAAAGACAATAAAGAAGCAGAGGGTGAAGCTGAGGGGAGAACAATAAATCAGAGAGAAATAAACCCCTACAAGGAATATGTTTGTATCTTTAGTAGTGAAGAAACTACATCCCATTGATGTTTAATGTCAATTATCGATAGAATGTAAATAATTTAAGCTCCTCCAGCTTCCTTTGGCTTCTGAGGTTTGTGTTGGGGATGGGGGGGGCTGACATAAGAATGAGTTTTTATGTTCCTTAATCATTAATATAAATGTGAGGAGGCCATTATTTGAGATTATCGATCAATGATTTCATGTTAATATTAGAGCTGTCATGAATAATATTAAGGCTTTTTCAACTTTTTTTATCCGTTTTAAATGTACCTTCAGAAGAAGTTGACAATTATGTATACGTTTTATGCTAATATATGTTTATTGTTATTTCAACAATCAGAAAAAAGGCCCAAAACAGGGACCCAAAATGGTATAAGAGTAGAACGGGAGGCAGGGCTTTCATCTATCAGGCTCCTCCCCTTTGAAATCATTTGCCAGGGTGGGTTGCACAGTCTGATGTCCACTCTCTGTTTAACATTAGACTTAAAACCTTTCTTTTTAATACATCCTTTATGAAGGCCTGGCTCAGGTAAACCAAAGTTATCCCTTAGTAATGCTGCTAAAGGCCTAGACTCCTGGGGGCACTCCCATGGTGTACAGAGCACTTCTCTCTCCCACTCTTCTACGGAACACAAACACATCAATTTGTGTCATGATGATAATTTTGTCTTCTTTCTCCTTGTCACTGTCATCACATCGCTAGTTCTTGGTCTCCCCATAATTGACGAAGTGTTCGCTCAGGGTTCGAGCCCCAAATTAACCACATACTTAAGGACACGTCCCCTGTGACAGCCTGGTTACAAAGAACACACTGTGAATTTCTCTATTGTGGGATGAGTAAGGGACTAATATTTATTTATTAATGCTCATTTGTTTTGTCAATATAAACCTGATGCAATATTAACTCGGAATAGTCATTATTTTTTGTGTTGTCATTTTAGGAGGATTCTTTTTTTTTTATAGTGATATTTAAACTGTGGACTACGTTGAGGGAAATGTGTTTTTTAAATTTGGACTGGACACAGTTGTCTTGACTTGACACACACACACACACAGGCAGAGGAAATGTGTAAATTTCAGTCACTTTGTTCTTAGGTGGGACCACACACACTGACAGCAAAGTAAAAAAAAATGTAGGCGGTCTTTCATCCACTGATTATATTTAGGAAGGCAGAGTAAAAATGAGGCTGTGTGTATTTGCAGGTGTGTGCAGCATTTGTGTGTGGATTTTTTTTTTCCAAACCTTAACAGGAGAAGGACAAGATGGAGTGGACAAAAACAAGACAGTCTTTTCCAACTTTCCGAGTGTTCAGTGCGAGTGGCAGTACACAACACACACACTTGCACACACAACAAGATTCACTATTGTCAAAATGTAGCCTGAATTTTAGCCAAAAATATGAATAAACCGTAGACAAAATATTTTAAATTGTTAGCAAATGAGTTCAAAGAAACTCACACAAAGAACGAGTGGGAGAGATAGATGGATCTTTAGAACTTTATTAATCCCTCGGAAATTCGCTAAAACGTGAGCAATATATGTTAAACTAGCTTTGACTTAGGAAAGGAAGTAGTTTAAGCCACAACAGGTTATTTTAGCTTATGCTAAATTATTTACTATTTTGGCTTTTATTTTTTGTTTTAGCTTTGCGCACTTCAACGTTATTGAGTGCTAAAAATCTTCAACACACTGATTGGTTAATCTGTTTCCAGAGCTTAGATGCAGCTCTGTGATTGGTTCAGAGTGTGTTTAGAACCCACCACACCCTCCGTTCTGTTTTTCTCCAGAAGCTGAGTTCCTATAAACGCCTGGATTGTTAAAACGTTACATCTTTGCAGCAGATGTTGACCAGACGGAATATTTTCCTTCGGGTAAGACCCGATGACATTCTTGGAAATCACAAACTGAAAATCTGTGACAGTGAAAATCGCTGCAGTGGCATTGTGGGTAACCCCGGTTTATTTAGACTGGGTGTGAAGATCCATCACAAAACCAGGAGCAGGAGCGCTGTGGTTCACACGAAGATCTGTCTGAGCCTCAGCAGGTTTGGAACAAACGTGGAAAAATAACTGGACCTGAAAACCTTCTCAGGCCCAACCAGACCTGGTTGTGTGCGAGACACCGTAAACTTGAACACGTTATTGTGTTGATGTGGAAATACATGAGTGCTTGAGTGTCTGAGACTTTCAGAGGAAGACATTTCTATTTATGGTCAGGTGCTGCTGTCCGTCCTCAGACTGTCCTTTTGTAACAAAGGGCTGTGTGTTTATTAGGACTGGTCAAGTTAACTCGTTATTGTCATAGCACAGTAATAAACACCAACAATTATGCTTTTTTCTGTTTTTTTTTTTCTTAAAGGTCTATAGTCGTAGGCTTTGAATACACACACAGACAATCATAGATCCTGGCGAGGATCACGGGGAGGATTGTGGATCAGCACTGGATTAGTTCCAATGGGCAGTTCTCCCGTCCATCCCAGGGTCACCGATTGAGCGATACAACTATTTAAACTCACGTTCACACCAAAAACCCATGCACACAGGAAGAACAGTGATCGGACCAGATCTTGCTTCCACTGTGAGGCCGCTGCAGATTTTGTTTGATCTGAACAATAAAAAAAAAACCAACACATTTTACAGGAAGAGAAGTGAAATTGAGACACATTGAGGCGAAGGGGAAATTAGATTTGAAGCGAATGTTATGATGTGGAATTGATTCAGAGGAAAGACTTTTTATTTTTAGTTTTATGTTTCCTTTCATGACGTCTTATTACATGAGCAGACTCAAACATCCTGGGGTGCAGGTTTGACTCCTGGGTCACTTTCAAGCGCACAGCAGTCAGGTCAGTGTTGAACTGCAGCTCCGACTCTTTGAAGTTGACCCCGTTGCACATTTACATCTCCGAGTCTTCAAATTGTTTGTCTTCTCGTGGCATTATTCCCGAGCCTGTTCTTCACCTCTGATCGTAACGGCAACAAAAGAACTAATAAATGGAAGGGTTTGATTTCCGACTGCCGTGCCAAACTCTGCAGGCTCACCTTCAGTAGAGCAGGGGTCAGGAGTTAGCGGCCCGGGGGCCCTAAAGGCTGAGGGCTCGGGGGCCGAGTGTTTACACACAGGGCGTTGCATTATTTATCTTCTTCATCAGTGGAGGAACAGAGTTATTACATCTGTGTCTAAGGCAACACATGGATGGAAACTCCTTTCTTTAAAAAGGAATTTCAGAGTCTGCAGAGTCTTTGTGATCGCAGCTGTTGATGTTAGGACTTAAGTCTGTCGTCAGATTATTGACTTAAATAATGAATGCGTTAAAATTAGAGCTGAGGTGTGATTATAATATTCCAGTTTAATCAGAGGATTTTAAATTTATTTCAATTATCAAAAAGCAATATTTGAAAAATCCAACACAGGGGTCACCTGAAATATCTAGTAATGGATAAAGAAAAATACTAATAAAATGATATTTTACACCTACAGTGATAAACCATGATCTATAAAGCTGACATTTATGGTTTTTGTTTAAAAAAAAAAAAAATATATATATATGTTTGTTTCCATTAGGCCTAGCACTTTCTTGTGCCCTGATGTCATTCAATGCTTTCTGTTTCTGAGTGGAAAACAACTGTAGGTGAATCACTGCCACCTGCTGGGCTGGAGTGTATGGAACTGTTGTTCTGAGAAAGTGTGATTAAAAAGTTTGGACTTCGTCAAAGCAGAGTACGTTGGTATGTTTCTATGTTTTGCTTAATGCTTTAGTTTCCACCTTTGTCGTATTACAGCATTACAGTTTTCCAGGTTCTTTTGCTCGTTACCTCTAAGCTTCTTGATCCCTCTGTCTGTCACTGTTGTTACATTATACGGCTTAGCTTTGGATATTGCCTGTTCCATGACAAGTCATGTTACGGTTCAACCTCCGGTCTCTTTGCTTTTCTTCTTTCCCACAAGTCTTGAACGGCCTAAATCTCACTGAGCTTTGATAAAGAGCTGTGGAGAATCAGGAGCAAAACAAACATCCATTAGGGAGAAGCTTTACCGTCTTTTCTCGAGGAGATCTGACAGTTCACAGATGGAACTTTATCTCATGCCTCATATTTTTGGACATCTTTCACACCGGTGTGTTTGCCTACGCTTCGGAACCGCTACGCTGCCTCCACTATACTGCCCACCATCAGGCCGGTTGCATAATGAAGGTGGGTCAGTGGAGCTGTGGGAACTGATGCTACAAACACAACAGAGGAGGAAATATGAAGAAATCCAGAGATCTTTACTTGAACCTGGTACTTCAAAGAGTTGATGTTGGATGGTTGAAGGTTCATCCAGAGCCAGTGTTGATGCTGGAAGTTCAGAAGCTCTTACCTGAGAGACGACCAGTTTACTTTTGGCAATGTTTGTCAAGCAGCCAGATGTCGTGATCGATGTCAGCCCAAAAGAAATGTTGGTGAACAATGATGACAAAACTATGTTGTTGGTCAACAAGTTAGGACCTCACTTTAAGTGTACAATATGACTGATGCTTGGAAGCCATAAAGGGAGGGAAAGATGTTTCCAAAAAGTCCAGTGTGTGGTCCACTGCAAGTTTTAACGAAGTATGTCAGAATGATAGGACCAGACTTTCCCAATACATTTATGGGAGATGGCAGTGTGACAACAAAACGCCTCAGGTAGAGGAAGTTGTAAACCCTGTCTTGCTGTTAACACAGACACCACAGCTAATGTTAGCTAGAACAGCACTTTTACAGCCTCAGGGGGGCGCTTATTGCCTAGTCATTGCTAACAGTGTCGTTAGTTATAACTGTCCTTTTGGTAAAAGTGCTCTAGTAAAAGTAGAAAACCCTTGAGACAAGGTTTTGGAAATGACTGATGTTAAACAAAATATCCAATCTTGACGTGTGTGTGTGTGTGTGGTCTGTGTGGCATGATGAACAGCGGTGACATACCTTCCTGCGGGTGTGAGAGTTGCTGAGGAGTCAGTGATGGGACAGATCCTCTGGACTGAGCCACGGTTCACATTTATAATCACTGCCCTTTGTTTAGACTCCCACTTCCTGATGTGTCTTTTGTCAAATAAACCAAATCTTTGGAGGAGAAAATCCTGCAAAACTGGAACATTCTTCAGACCAGAGATGATCACAGGTTTGTTTATCTGCTCTTTAGAGGATGTGGCGGATCTGCAGTGGGATGTAGTGACCACCAGGTGCATGGGATTTTCAGTTGAAATACAAAATAGTAAGAAAATGACAAAGACAGAGGAAAAAAGGAACGGCTCACTCAAAGTATAACAGTATACTACAATGTCAACTGTCCATCTTGAATCATCTTTTTTGTTTTCTTGAATCAGCTTCAGAAACAGAATTCTCCTGAAATCTAAACTTGCCTAATCTGTAAAATTATGATGCACAAACAAATTTCCTCGTGTCATGTGCAGTAACTGGGTCGTCCTGCGGAGGACCTCATGGTTCACTTTAAGGACTCTTTCTGTTCTAACTACATTTTTACATATATATTTTTTTCTTTTCCTTCCCCGTACTTCCCATGTTATGGGGTCAGTCATTTTATCTTTTTGGTCTCGCCAACATCCGTCCTCAAGGTGAGGAGTCTGATGGGAAGGACACCTTCCTTCCCATCAGACTCCTCACCTCGTTAAACCTTCAGACGTCTGGCCGACACTTAAATGACCTGAACACAGCAGGACACACACATTCCTCCGCTCGGACTTTTCTATTTTTAGTCTTTGTAGAGTCCAGACCCACTGTGGTACCGTGGTCGTCCCAGATGTGTTTCCCATTCCGAGTCCAAACAGAAGACTATTTAAAGACGTGTGTCATCGCCTCACACACCTGTTTGTTTGAACAGGGATGCACAGAAACACATGTTCATCACATGCTGCGGCGTTTCACTTGCTGGTTCACTGCCTTTCCTTCTCATGGTCCTGGAGGAACCTCCTGAGGGTCTCCTGCTCGCTTGTCTTCAGTGCTCCTCTCTCTGGACACTGAAAAAGTCTTGAAGACGGAATTTTGGTCGTCATCTCGACCTAAAACTTAAAAGTACTGCTACATAAACTAAAATGCAGTAACAATAGATTTGTTTATGCTTTAAATATAAGGTTTTTTTTTCCTATTGATTTGCTGCCATCGGTGATGAGTATAATGTTTCACACATGTACATATATATACTGAATTATATATATTACTTTATTAAATATATATATAAAAAAACAAAGAAAAACCATAGAATTGCTACTTCTAACAGTTGGGTTCTACAGACTTTTCTGTTATGGAATATCTGATTCCAGTGACTGTCGTTAATTCTTAAAAACCTCATCCTCTGTCATCACTTTGTTTTTGTCCATTCAAACCACATATTTCGATGCTCCGCTCAAACCTCCATGCTTCAAAGTCAACATGTGGTCACTCCTGGACTACGTCTCCAACAATTATCAGTCATTTGTGGCTCTGTGGGCCAGACTCTGCATTCACTTAAACCTGTGTCCAAATCTGGAGAGTGTGTTATGTTCACACAAAATATGTACAACTATATTTGAAACCACTTTTTGCAGCATGGCATCAGTGACCACTGTTTCCTCTTCCGGTTGTTACTCTCTGTTAGTGTTAGCGCTCACTGCTAATGTTAGGGGCTCCACTGATAATGATAATAATGATAACAATGATGATGATGGTGATGATGATGTGGTTTCGTGTCTCTGGACCTTCTCTCTGCATCTGGACCCAGATCTGTTTGTGTTTTTCCTCAGAGACGCCGCTAAGAAATGCCAAAAACAAGTCTGGATTTAAAGGGACCCTCCACCCTAAAATCTGTCTGCGTCTGAGGCTTTGTTGCCGCTGAATGGTCACATGAGGCTTGTTGTGATGACAGCCGACTTAAAATCTAAAGGAACTGTGGGAAATAAAAATAGAGATATTTGTTGAAACCTCTGCAGAGATAATCAAAACCGTGCTTCTACAAAGACACGTCTTCTTACTGCGGCGTGTTGTGAAATCTTTTGTTTAGCGCTTTTCCAGCAACTGTCATAAGTGCAGAAATCATTTTAGACACATGAGGAGTTGAGTGGAGATAATTTTCTCCTCTGTGATTTCAGTAATAGGATAAATCTGCAAAATGCTTGTGCTAAGAAGATTTACTAAAACAACTGAAACAGATTATGTTCTTTTCTATTATTACTAACAGCTTCTTTAGTAATGAGCTGGATGGTGAGGCCAGTAATGCTAACGCTTATGTCACTGTGTTGCAGATTAGTTTGTACTATTATAATGGAGATAAAGGCTTATGCTGACGATAGCTACAACAGTCCTGGTCCAGACAAATGGTGCAGCAGCCCACAGTAGACCCTACAACAGTCCTGGTCCAGACAAATGGCGTAGCAGCCCACAGTAGACCAGAAGAGAAAAGTCTTTAAATGTTTAATATCATAGCTGTAATTGTACTACGAGCTTGTAGTAGAAAGAGGTAAAATGTACAGAAGAATGAAAATGTATTCATTAAATTCATTCAGTCCTCAACAACAATGAATTGAAAATCTGCCTCTTTGGTTGTGTATCTATTTTTTTAAAAATTCAATTTGTAAATTAAAGGTTTTTTGTCATTACATCGTTTTAGCTTTTAGCATTTATCCCACTAAAAGATATTTGTTCGTTTTCCATTAAAACATACAGTGAGTGTAAGTTTTGTAATTGGGAATGAAGTGCTCTGCCTCCTGCCTTTTTAACACGGGCTCTTGACTTAAACGTGACTTTGTGTTGAAGAACATAATTATAAAAACTACTGAAAACCCAAGTCAATCAAGTCATTCTCCTTCTGGCTGTGGTTTCAGGTTCAGTTCAGTTGAAACTGGCACAGTGACTCTGTGCAGCAGCCTGTGCTCCGCGCTGATCTGCTCGTATTGTTCCCTCCATCTCATTGGATGTCCTCGTCCTCCTTTTTTTTTTTACTGAAAACCACAAGTCTAAACACACTTAGCCCCGCGGCCGGCCACAAAAGCCTGCTGTTCACCTCCGCCTGACCAACATGCACCCTGACATGTTTAGAAAATAAGCCTGCGGTCCAAAACACACAGACGCTGCACCGCTGAAATAAATCTCAATTTCCCCTTCGCCACTTTCTTCATTTAGCAGTTATGTAATGACTCGCCATTAGGAAGGGAAAGTGTTCTGCTGCTCCGTACAACCATGGGATCATCATACACACACAAACACGTCAGAAACATGTTCAGGGTGGTAAAATATAGAGTGACATCCTCACCGTGAAGCGCACACACACACAGAGAGTTATTACTGCCCTCACACACTCACACACACAAGTCACTTTTAATGGGCCTGTCGGAGGCTGAGGTGTGGTCTGCAGCCATTTTCCAAATAATTACCTTCACAACAGAGACGTTATTGTGTCCA